CACCTCTCATATTTAATGTGTATCCTGCAGCCTCTGATGCAGCGTAAACAGGAGCATGAAAAGAGACGTAAGGAGATCAAGGAACACTGGATTCGAGCTAAAAGAAAATTGGTATGGCCTTATGATCTTTTGTTAATCAACAGCCCTGCTTTATCCTTTTACTGAAAATGCCACAAACCATTTTATTTATTTATTTATTTTGTTTCGTTCCTCCTTGTTTAGATGGAGTGTGAGGCAAACCTGCGGAAGGCCAAGCAAGCCTACATAGCACGCTGCGAGGAGTACGACAAGGCTAAAACGGCAGCCTGCCGAGCTGAAGAGGAGGGAGGGGGATCCACAGCGAAGTCTGTGGAGAAGAAGAAACGAGTGGAAGAAGAGGCTCGCAACAAGGTTCTTCTCGATAACTTTGTTTTGCTGATGTTGTTTTGTCTCTGCAGGAAGAAAGACGATTAAATTTTAGTTGCATAAGACCTCGATCAGCTGAAAATCTTTGGTCACAACTCTGACCGTCACATGAGCCAAAGATGTTGTGTGAGGACACAAAGAAGGAAATAGTTTATCTGATACTTGCTAGTTTAGGCTGAGTGAACAGTTCAGCTTTACATAGGGTTTGTGAAAACCACTGCTGGACTTTTAGATCTTTCCCACTACTGGATGAATTCATGATTTTAAAAAATAGGTTAGAAAATGAAGAATTGTGTACCTTCATTGCCCACCAGGGGGCCGCACCCTACACTTCAAGAATAACTAAGCTTACCCATTCTGATTTTTGCCACTGTGAAATGTTTCATCAACACTTTTCTGTCTGATAAATAATCTGACAGATATAAACGGCAAAGAAAAAGCAGAAGTAAATGAACCTGTTTGTGTGTGTGTGCGCACAGGCAGATGAGGCGGAGGCCACCTACAAGACTTGTATAGCAGACGCCGCCACTCAGCAGCAGGAGCTTGAGCACACAAAGGTCACCGTGCTGAGGCAGCTGCAGGACATCATCAAACAGAGCGATCAGACCATTCGCTCGGTGAGAACAAAAGCCACACGAGCCATCGCGTCTCGCCAAGAAGAAAAACTACAAATGCTCACCATCTAATCTTTTCACTTCCAGGCGACCATCTCCTACTACCAGCTCATGCACATGCAGACAGTAGCCCTGCCTGTGCACTACCAGACTCTGTGCGAGAGCAGCAAGCTGTACGACCCCGGCCAGCAGTACGCCGCTCACGTGCGAGACCTGCAGCTGCCAGAGCAGCCGAGCATCCAGTACGCGTTTGAGTCCTACTCCCCCTCCAACTCATCGTCGCAGTAAGAACTTCAAGCGCGTCCTCAATTAGTTTCTCAATGAAACCGTTCATATGCAGCTCAGGATGGGGGTTGCAGAGAGAATTTAGCAAGGATCCACTCATATCTGGTTACTCGTTCCTAAATGTGTTCTCTCTTTAACCAAATATCTTCACAGACTTGACACAATGTATCAAAACCACATGGTTTCTGTTTCCCAAATATAACCTGGGTTAGACTGTTTTAGGAGTTGATTGACTACATACAACAATGTATACTCTATATACAGTGTTATACCACTGATGCTGTAATTTGTACTAAAATGCCATATCACACCTGCTACACACAACCCTGTACCCAGGCGTAGGACTAGACTCTCTATGCACTTAATAACAAAATAATGTGTTTCAATAATTTACCTCAATTACTGTTGTAGTTGTTTTTTGACTGTTCAATGTCTCCACACTTTTTAATTTTAATTTTAATTTATTTTTTTAATGATACTTTTTAATTTTTGAATTTTCAGTGTAGTTTTATTCTCTTATCTAGTTAGGAATTGCAATAAACATGCCACTGCATGTTGTAATGTGTATGACTGTGTATGTGACAAAAGAAACCCACTTTTAATGCATTTGCAATCTGAAAATCCCAAATTGTTGCAGCCATGGTCACAGACCGAGGAATGACAGCTTCAACACAGACACGCAAACGAGTCAAACAGACAGTCCTGCCGTCAGTGCGGAGACGACAGCTGGAGAAAGCCGAGAGTCAGAAGTCCAGCG